TTTCTGCTAAATGTTATTTCGAACCTGCCTGCCTGCTCTTCGGGCTCTTCTTGAGTGAATTTTTTACTTTCCGCTTGGGGTTTTGGGGCTCCAGCGATGCTGCGAGTTGTTGTTGCTGTTGTGTTTGACGAGATGAGCTGCTCACATGGCCGCAGCGCGGCGGCGGACTCCTACGCGGGGCTCGGGACTCGGGCTCGGGCTCGGGCCTCTGGTCAATGGCTCAACATGACAGTGGAATAGCAATATCGATTTCAGCTGCAGAGGTGTCAAGTGTTGCGCCACCGCCCACGCGCCTCAGGCCTCAGGCCACTGGGCCATCAAATACGGAGGTGTCCAATTTCATTAGCTGCAAGATAAAAGACACAAACTTATTGAATACTCAATATATGAAATGCAGCGAATGGTTAATAGAGTGTGTCTGGAATGCGTCTTGGAATAATCTAAAAGCCATTAACCCCTAAGTGGAGGAGCCAGCGATGGGCCTGGAGAGTGGGCAGGGCAGGTGTCATCGGTTTGGCTCGGAAAAAACGTTAGTTAGTGGCTTCAAAAGAATGCTGAGCTACTTTCTGGCATCGCAGATCCGTGAGGGATCTATAAAAACTCTCAAGCATTTCCTCAACTGAACAATGCTCGAAAAAGTACATTGCGGAGTTCAATTAACATTCATCAAAGTGCATCCATAAGATGCTTTATCTAATTGTGCAACTCTGGGATGGGATGGGACGGGATGGATGGATGGATGGATGCCGCCACTTGCCACGACTCCACGCAAGGGGACCCACACGCTGGTATGCGGGTCAATCTTATAAACTTCTGCCACAGTCATCCCATCATCGTCAACAGGCAACATGCAACATCCACAGAGTCATCCTCCGCATCGTACGTCATCCAACTGTTTCTTTATTTTTCTTTTCTGTGTCCGCCAGCCATGTGACCCGGTATTTTTCAGATCGTTTTGCTACGCTTTTCATTCCCTCCTACTAATTAATAACTATTAAGTATTCTCTTTTCCCCTCTTCGGGTGGGGGGCTGCTGTTGGGGTTGGGGTTTGTTTGTAATCGAGCTTGTTTATTAACATCTCGCATCCAGAGATCTTTAGAAAGTCGGGTTCAAAAGGGTTACTCTCGGGAAATAAGCGGGTAGTCGCCGAGGGGTTGGCGGCTTTATCCGTCATAATTATGCGGTTAATATGACAGCTGATAAGTATTAGGCATGCCCACGGCTTCCTGTATCAGGCATTATGGAATCGAAGCCAAAACGAAGCAGTACATCATCCGTAGAGACCCAGAGAGAGATCCCATCCCCCGCCCATTAGCCGGAATGTGTTCATAATGTTTCTGCCATCAATTTGAATTATCAGCGGTTTGTCAGAAGCAATTCCCCGATCTGTGATTCGCCTGCGATTGCTTCGATGATCATCGTCAACACTTCTGCATGACTGTATCTTCTTCAGATTGTGGCATCTCATGTCAAATTTGATCAGCACATGTGCCAGCGTTTTTCAACACTCCAGGCATTCAAGTGGAGAAGCAGACTCAAGAGGAGACCGAGACGGAGGCACGACAAGGCACTCCAAAGATCAGGAGGCACGAGGCTAATCAACATGAGCATTCGCATTCGCATCCACATTCGCACTCGTTGCTGAATGCTAATTTGCATATAAAATGCAACAACAAACAACCACAACAGCACCGACATTATATCTACCAGTAATAGATAACTGCGACTAAAAGCCAAGCAACAATTAAAGCAAAACTTTCAAATTGTAATAATTAAGCACTGGTCTGCTGTCTCTAGTCTGTTGTCTGTTGTCTGTTGTCTGCTGGTTGTGTCTTAGTCGCCTAACGCCTAACGACAGCTCGACAACGACTTTAACCACATCTCCACGGATAACTATAATGACTCGTGCGCAAATTGCAATAATTTAAATTTAACAGAAAACTAAATTCAGCTTTTACATAAGGCACTCTTGGCCACTTTCTCGGCCACCGAAGACCAGAGCGGAGGCACTGCGGCGCTCCGGCGGGGCCTTTGCTTACTTAGAGCGGAGCCCCGACGCATTAGCAATAATTATTAAGCGAACAAAATGATAATTAGATAAAAATGGCCACTAAAATACGAGAAAAAGATCAGCGTTGGCGCCAATACCCAGAGACAGAGAGAGAGGCAGAGATCAAGTCTCGACGGTGTCCAAGACGGTGCACAAGAATTCCCCTCCCCTAACCCTGGTCTATCCACTTACAAATTGTATCAAGATGTTTTTGGAATGGATCGAGGCGCTGAATTAATTGATAAAATGGCGACGATGATGGCTATGATGGCTATGACAATGCCCAGGCACAGACCCAGGCCAAAGACAGAAAGAGAATTCTTTCAGAAACGAGCCGCGCGGCGCGTAAATGCCACGCAATTGTCTTTGAGTCTGTCTTTCAGCTAATTAGCGGCCACAGCAGTTAGAGCTCCAAGGCGGCAGATATCTGACGCTAGCGGCGGCAGCATTGCCAACATCAAAGAGGACCAGACCAAAACAGAGCTGCATTTGGATGGTAAACAAGGGCAAGGCTTTGATCCGTTTGGCGACATGTACAAAGGACGGTTAATGAGACATCACTGGTATCCTTGGACTTGATATGAACTATATTTTCGATAATGAATGATCAGCATCCCTGATTCCACATCAGATCCGTGAACAAATCATTGCCCCTATCTCCCATCTCTGTTCTAAATTACCATAATCCCAGGGCACTCTATCATAACTGGAAGCTCCCTGCGCTCCTCCATTCATTGTTTGCCAACGCCTAATGCGAAAACAAACAAAACTCTGCTGTTGTTCGGAGGAGGAGGCGATCATTGTCTGCCGACCGACGAACAAACAATAACCGAAGCGTTCTGTTAGAGCAAAATGTCTAATTAAATATTTATCAGGGATTTCGATCGAAAGAGGGGCCAGAGCAAAGGCAGGCCAGGCCGGGCCGGGCCAGACCAGGCCCCGTATTAACTTATCAGGCAAATGAAATCTAGGCAGAGCCAAGATTATAATAGAGCTCTACTGCGAGTATGTTCCAGAACAATGGGCCGGGTCTGTTTTTAGTGGTTTTGAGTACTTTTTAGTGGGGAAACTACCTACTTACTCCGCACCGAAATAGGAAGAAGAAGTAAAACAAATAATAACCGTAGTCGCCGCTTAGATAAGAGAGGAGTGCACGTTAATGATCTGCCTCTCTCTCTCCCTCTCTCTGGCGACACTCTCCGATTCGGTAACGAAAAAAGCAAAAGTGGAACACCATCCAAAAGTCGGAGACCGATTTGGCCGTGGATCTGGATGTGTTGACCAGGTGAAAAGTGGCATTGTAATAAATGTTTAACGTGACTTTAGATTAAAATTGTATTACCCGAAGCCGAACACGAACTCGTTCACAGCGCTCGCACTCGTGAAGTGTGAAAAAGAAAAATCACAAAGTGGGTTGGAGGTGGGAGGCACATCATCGCCGTCACCGTCACCGGTTGGGTCTTCTGGAGGCGGAGGTGGAGATGGGTGTCAAGCTCCGTTAGCTGCCGGCCAGTGACACTAATGACATTCAAATTGTTGCGCCAAAAGAAGCCATAAAAAGTGAGCGAGAAAAGCAGCGGGAAAACAAATCAAAGCCTAGTCCGTGTGACACCGAGAAAGTGCGACCAGGTCTCGGTCCAAGCCCCGATCCGTATCCGAGTATCCGAATCTGAAGCCGAGTTGGAGGCGTGCAATTGAAAGTGTCGCCGTTTGTTTTGTGGTCGCCGATGTGCAGCCATCAGTCACTCACTCAAACCGAATCCCCATACCCACACCCATCCCCCTCTCCATTTTCATTCCAGTTCATGTCGTGGGTTGTGGGCTGTCTCATAAATAAATACGCTTCAATTGTAATATGTATCCAGCAGATACGACTATCAGAGATACATCAGACGACATGCCATGGCATGGCATGCCAGAGAGCATTCCATGCCACCAAGCATTTCATCTGACGTTTTCACTTGTCCAGTGTTGTGCAACGACAGTCGGATGGCCGCCTGACAATCGAACGGTCTCCGAGATGATACGAGTCTGTGTACGCCAAAGTATTCCGATTGTTCCAAGAGATGCATGATTTCTTGTCTATCTACTAATGAACTTTTTCCTGAAGATAAGCCAATACATTCCTTGCACAATCTGTTTCTTTACTATTTATATCAATTAATATATCAAGATAAGGTATACCCAATCTGTTGCTGAAAGTTAAAACCTCCCTTTATTAGGGCTTCCAACAAGGAAGGAACAAGGTTCGTTAAATAGTTCTGACTTGAGAACTTCCCATGATATTCCTATGCCTGCTTCAAAATCGAAGAGAAAAAAGCCTCTTCAACAAGGTTAAGATCAACGACTTCAATCGGGAAAAACATTAAACAGTAAAAACAAATAAATTGCAATGAACACGCTTTCAAGTGCATTTTGTGTGCAAATCGAAAACTATTTTTGGATCCAGAATCGAACATGGAAATCGCCAAAGGAAAGGGGGGGGGAAAAAGATTAAATATTTCTATAGATGCCAAGAAAAAATGATTGAAAATGCATATTGAAACTCTATTTTTAGCCTTTTGTTGTGTGCGTGTGTGTGTGTGTGTGTGTGTGTGTGGGTTTTGGCCAGCTCATTTCTTTGATTGCATTAATTGAAATATTTCTCAAGCGTGGCCAAGAAAAACAACCAAATGGAAAGTGAAGTGTGAAGTGAAGTCTCGACTTGGGTCTCCATCTCCGTTTCGGTTTTGGGTTTTTGGTATTTGGTATTTGGTCTTTGTCTTTCGTTGTTGCCTTTCCAATCAGAGCAGCAGCAAGAGCCAGAGCTACAATCTTGGTTTTTTAGTGGTACACTCGTATCATTGTACAATATCTGGGCAATTATCACGGTGCCACAGTGCGAACTATTCGACAATTCGACACGCAAAATTTTCAGTTCATTAACATTTCAATATCGATAAGGCCCGAGATGCACTTTCGCTCCGCAGAGCAGCCAAAAGATACGAATCAACGCCAATTGAAATTGTATATCGGAGTATCAGAGCATCAGTATCTGCATCTGGACCTAGAGTACGATCTCCGTCGCGGCGGTACAGCCTCCGACAATGTCAGTTTCCGTTAATAATAGTTATTGACTTATCATGGCACATTCTTGTGGCCACCGAGTGGCAATTTGTAACTGTTTGCTTGTGACATGCATGCCTCCATCTCTATCTGCAGCTGCTGCCATCTCCATGAACATGTATCTCTAGCTCTGTCTCTGTCTCTATCGGCTCGCCTTGGGGCAACAAATTTTGCACAAATCAGCAGGAAAATTGCGAAAAATCAAGCAAATGAAAGGAAAAGCAACCAAGCCACAGTCGGAGCCAGAGCAAACAATATACTGCAACATTTGCATTCTAAGATACTCGTACAGCTCTCTGGCGGCAATTTGATTTCAATTTCTGTATCTTGTATCTGTGTGTACGTATCGGTTAGTTACGCTTACAGATACATTACATGTCTGCTGCGGCCAACTGCTGTGTTTTGCTGCCTGCAATTTCAAGCAAATTGTTTTGGCATCAGAGCGCCAACGGAAACCGATCTCTGAACTCCAATCGCCTCTCGCTTCATTAGCTCTCAAACGCCCCTCAGACCTCCCGGACCTCCCCGGACCCGAGCCAATGTCAGACAGTCAAATTTCTTCATTAATAATACCGTCTATATGGACTACACGGTGTTTTCGGACTGAGGGGGGGCTATTTAATCAATCCCTCGACCCGGCACACGCTCACTTTTCGGCCTGACCCATTTCGCGTGCCAGGGCAAAAGATTATTTTATTTGCATTCAAAATGAGTTACATGTTAAAAATTTAAATTCGTACACACCCACCAAAAGTCAGAACTCCAGAACTTCAGAGCCGTACAGCCGTAGAGCCGCGGAGCCAAAGAACACGCCCCGAAGACCAGCCCCAAAAAATTACAGAAAAGATTGCCAAGAATACTCTGTGTGGCTGAAATTAATATTTCATACATGGACAACGTTTTGGGCCTTTTCATAAGCAGTATAAATTGAGTTTGTTTCAGGGCGTGCCTGAATGTTTTATTCAAGTGAAACCAAGTGAAGAAGTTACCAGACATTGATCACTTTTGAATGGAGTATCCCATTTTAAGGTTGTATATCTTCATATCTTCTTACAGAGAGCTAATACGCAGATCTGTCAAATCGGTCATTCGTTCAGATACAACTTCAGACACGTAGGAAATATTATTTAAGTTTCTGGGAGTCCATTTGAATTCCCTGCAAGGATCACTCAATCCTCCATTAGTTGGGAGTGCGGGGTGTGCATAAATATTCTGTGAAGAGCATTCACAGCATAAAATATGTCGTATTCGTTACCTTAACTTTGATCGAGGCGAAGCCACAGCAAATTGTCGCATGCGTAGGCCCATTTTTTGTACCATTGTTGTTGATGTTTTGGGGCTAATGTCGTCGTTTGTATGGGCCATGGTTTGTGGAGTCAAAAAAATCAAGCTCAAATTCAACGGACGAGTGTGTCCGGTTGCCAGAAGAGGAGGCAGAGCCAGAGTCGCCACCGACTGACTGGCCAAAGGCCCAACCCAACCAACCCGAGACTAAACAAAATGGGGCAGTGCCCCCAATTATGCCCCGGGGCTCACATGTGTTCCGCAGATGCAACAGGAACTAAATAAAACTTTGGTTTTAATGTGCCTCGACGGCCACAGAACAGAAGCAGCCCCCACCGATCCGTCTATTGTTTGGGGCAATGATTTTCAATGCTGGAGCCCAGAGCCCATCGCTTCGTTAATTGTTGATGAATCGGTGGGGCTTTGATTCTAATATTAGCTCGAAAAATGCCAGAACATGTGAATGCGAATGGTTCTCATATCAGCACAGACTGAAGATCGTCTACAGATGATATATGTACCCAACGCAAATGATCGAAATGGAATTGCCATACATTTCAGATCAATAGGAAAGAAATTGTAATATCAAGAATATATGGATTTGCAATAAATTCTTATCATCAGTCCACGCAATTAAAGTGTTCCTTTTCGGTTGATGTTCCTCCCGACCTCCCAACCTCCAAGTACTCCTATCCCAAATAGCGCACTCACCAACACCTCCTCTCTGAGGACATATGACTAGAATAACGGCTATCAGGGCAACGGAGACAAGTCTCATCGAAAATAGTATGATTTTACGCAGCAAGCCGAAGAACACAACCTGAGGACAACCTCGAAGTCAGCTCAAAATACACAGACTAATCTTACGATCCAACGATTACGATATCTCTAACGATGCCAATTTCCGATAAATTTCAACGATATATCGATTTAAATTTGTTTTACCATCGAGCTTATATACATAAATCCAGAGTAAGTGCTGGCACACCTTTGAGTAATTTTGATATTCTCTTAAAAAGGATGCTTCCAGATTGAAGATAACAAACTTCGTATATGATTCGGTGAACTAATCTTGGGTTACAGTTACCTGTCGCCTAAAGGCAGTGAGACGGAACAGGACTATATCCAGTGCAAGTCCAGGTAAAGCTTTAAAACTTACAAATCAGAGTTATTCCGTAGCTAATATTTTAAATTTATTATCTATTAGTTATAATACATCACATGTCCTTCAAGGTCGAATATTAAGTATCGTACTCCACTTGGTTGAAAAAAGTACATATAATCAATTTAAATTTTATTTTTTAAATAATAATAGTTACGGGATTAACTCCTATGTGTAACTTTTGAAATAAAAGTGTTCTTTGTTTTTGTTATTTGGAATTTTGTTTAATACAAATGAATAATAAGTTTTATATTTGTTTTTTTGTGATAAAAATTGGATAATAATTGTTAGACTGCAATTTGTATTTTAAAACTTAGAGCAGTTACGGTCTCTGGTTGAAATAATACCGAAATTGGAATGGAAATCAGTGTTCTATTATATAAGTTATTTATTATATATTAAATATTGGTCCTATAGAAAACATTAGGCTGGTTCACTTTTCCTATGACTTTTAAAATTTCATTTTCTACACTTCTTTTTGGACCAGTTATTCTATAAATAAATGATTAAAACGTGCGAATCAATTGTTTCATTGAAACGTGAAAGGAGGCTTAGCTTCTAATGCGGAGGCATTATATTTAGATTAAGCAGATTAGAAGAAGATCTATAATTTGTATATTAGGATCCGATCGGCACTATGAACAGGCTTATACCCTCTGGAAGGGTATCTAATTTAGAATTTAAATTGAATTGAAAAAACTGCTACTGCAGAAGGAATTCTGGTTAGGAACTGGGATTCAATTAGCATTCGTTTAGGATAGAATTTCAATATTAGTCCACATGTTTGGAGGGCAACAACCTTCCAATTTCAGACTAAACCAATTATGACTGCAAATTATTTTCTATAAATAAGATATTCGTACTATCGATGCGAAAGCTAATATGGAATGTCTGTGGAATATAAACATGATCTCCCTTTTAAGAAGATTTCTGGTATCACTGACCTACAGCTAGTTCAAATGTCACTACGGACTCTGTTGCCGAGGCACTACGATATCTGTATACCCTTGCGAACCGTTTCCATTGAAGTTGTACGGATAGATAAACGGATACACAGACAGATGCACCTCTCGATAGCCCCTTGAATGGTATTCAAATTAAATTTTAATTGATCAATCAAAGCTACTCATGTGGAATGAATTCTCTGATACGAATCTGATAGGAATGTGAGTTTCGCGCTCATGGAGGATCTCCGGACAAGCTAAAACTCGGAGATAAATACCGCTGAACCCTGGAGATTCAAAGAATACTAGAATTTGCGTAGTCGGGGTGGCTTTTATTGAGGGATAGGTGTTTATTTGAGATTAGTATTGTGTACCAATAATTTCCAACAATTGAGATACTATCGATGTACGCCGGATGTAATTCAAGGTAAGTGGAATGATCACTTACAGTAAATGGACTCTTTCATGCAGAAAGAAAAACAAAACTTGTTGGACTCTCGAACGTTATTTGACAACCAAGAGCTGGAGCGATGCCTTCCCGTTTGTTGATCGGCAGTCCTCTCGGACTTTTTTTAATACTTAACTTCAATGCTAGCGTACGTATGTGGGAAGTTCCTAGTCTGAACTGGCAAAATAACATTTCCCCAATTTTCAGGATGCAGTCGTTTTCAAGTTTACGAACATTGCTTGCGAGAGCTACAATAAGTCCTGGGTCGTGTTCGAGAACTGTCGTTTGAAGGCCGTCAGACGGGACAAGGTGCTCCTTAATTTGAACGCGACTCTACTAAATCCGGCCCATGGTGTCACAATACATGGGAGAATTTTGAAACGGGCGAGTGGCTATAAGCCTTGGCTCGTCGATGTGACCTTTGACGCCTGTCGGTTCATGCGAAAGCAAAACGTCCCAGTTGCTAAATTGATTTTTGGGCTGTTTGAAGAGTTCACGAACATTAATCACTCGTGTCCTTTTGTGGTGAGACTTAATGAAATCGTTTCAATTAACATCTAAGATCCGATAACAGGGTCCGCAGGTTATCAAGGATTTGTATTTGAAGCCCGAGCTGTTGCGTCTTCCCTTACCTACCGGAGATTACATGCTAGCGCTTCGGTGGTTCTTCGAAAAACGTCAAGTATCTGATACGAATTTCAGTTTTGTGTTCATAGAGGATCTCATGAAGAGCAAATAAGGAAAACCCTTGTTTCTATTCTATGCAAATAAATGAAGAACAATGAATTTATTTAATACATTGCCGGCTGATATTAATTGCCGTATCCATTCGTCTTGTCTCGGCTCAAGGTCTAACTGAAAACTAAAAAAGACTTCCAACTGGAGATGGGATATGGGAAGGTGCAAAACAGCAATTCAGGGCCCGTCTTCGGGCCGTCGTTCGACAGGAATATACTATCCAGATAACAAGAATAACGGCCAGAAGATCATACACTGAGAATGATTTCGTGGTCAATTCTGGTTTATTCTTTATTCTTCAGAGTTCAACTATGGTCCCTTAAACTGTATAGCAAAAAATGTACAATAAAAGAGCATCTACAAGCAGGCAATGGTAGTTTCTCTGACACAATTCAAGATTGAAGAAAGTTAACAAAAGCAAAAGTGTCAAAGGAAAACAGATGGACTAAAGTATTGTAATTAGGGGAAAGGTTACGGAAAGGTTCATGGTCAGTCTATTTATAAAGACGGAATGGAGGATGAAGAACTCTTTTGACTGCATACTTTTAGGATATATAGAAACTAAGTACCGGTCCTATTGACGTTCGCTTAATGTGTCCGAAAACGGACAAGCAGGTAAAAGCAACAATTAAAACAAAATCAAAATGGTTACATCAGTTTTAATTACTTTTCATTTGAGCATGGGAGTCCCAGCTTCTGATACCGAGGCATTATATACCCTTGTGAAGCATTTTGAAGAACATTTATCGTTTATGAACTGGAATGCATTCCTCATTGTGGATTTATCACATGCTCCTACCCTCTGGAAGGGTATACAAATTGAGTTTAAATTGAAGAAACAAAGCTACTAGAGCGGAATGAACTATGGCTTAAAATATTGCTTTACTGGGATTCAATACGCATTCGTTTATCGTTCGATTAGAAGCAATGCAGTCCAAGCTATTATTCTGTGTTCTACTTGGAATATTTCTAACTTCTACATTCAATTCCAATGTAAATATAACCATACACCTCTAGTGAAACAGGTCCTGCACTAATTTGAGTTCACAGGATGCGATCGTTTTTAAGTTTACAAACTTCGTCTGCGAGAGTTACAACCAATCGTGGTTCGTGTTCCACAACTGTCGTCTGAAGGCCGTCAGTCGAAACAAAGTGCTCCTCAATATGAATGCGACGGTACTAACTCCGGCTAATGATATAACAATTCGTGGCCGGATTTTCAAAAAAGCAAGCGGCTATAAGCCCTGGCTCTACGACGTTACTTTTGATGCCTGCCGGTATTTGCGAAGGCCAAATCAACCCTTTGTTGCTATAATCTATGGGCTCTTCAAACAGTTTACCAACATTAATCACACATGCCCCTACGTGGTAAGATTATGCGGATATTTCTCAAAACTTCAGCATCTAAAACTTATTTTACAGGGCTCACAGATTATCAAGGATTTTTATTTGAGACCAGAGCTAATGCGCCTTCCCGTTCCAACGGGGGATTATTTATTGGCAGTTCAGTGGTACTTCGATAAGAGGCCACAATTTGAAACGAATGTTAGCTATACTTTCGTAGAGGATCTGTTGAAGAGCAAATAATCCATGTGTTGTAGATTGAAACAATGGGTTTTCGAATAAACTGCATACATACCTATGTATTAGGTACAGTTTTTCAGTGTTTTGTACAATTTTAGGCCTTTTTTTTATCTATTTCATTATTTGTACAAGCTACATTTTATACCCGATACTCAAAATGAGTACAGGGGTATAAGGGATTTGTGGTAAAAGTGGATGTGTGTAACGTCCAGAAGGAAGCGTTTCCGACCCCATAAAGTATATATGTATATTCTCGATCAGCATCGATAGCCGAGTCGATAGAGCCATGTCTTTCAGTCCCTATGAGCGCCTAGTGCTCAGCGACTATAAGAGCTAGAGCAACGATATTTTGTATCCAGACTTCTGTGATATGTCACTGTCACAAGTATATTTCAAAACTCCGACCCGCCCTCTTCCGCCCCCACAAAAGACGAAAATCTGTGGCATCCACAATTCGAAAGATACGAGACAACTAAAAACGCACAATCATAGAGAGATCTGGATCAGATCGGATAATTTGTATAGCCAAAAGGAACAAATCACGCTCAGACTGATTTTCTTTGTCTCTCGCACGCGCTCTTTGTCGCGTCGTTTAATATTCGCGGCGTCTGACGGAGGAGAGCCATACTGACTAAGTATGGGGTATAAATGTAGAGTTGCGGTCTTCGCAGCAACTCACAACGTTCCCCCTCGTTTCTTCAAGAGCACTTTGTCTCTATCTCTTTCCCAGTGTGGCTTATTAGTAAAGGGTGAGTTTTCACTACCGCCGTGTATTCAAAGAGTCTCTCGCTCTTTTTCTGTTTCTGCGCCGCTGATCGCCGTTTTTTCTGTGTGATCTTGTCATAACATCTTGGACTCATTGCAACTGATTTATAGATGATCTATCTATTCAGCACGATGTGGTCAAACGTGATCATTGGAGCTCTCTTCGGAGTATTTCTAGCCGTTCACTTCGGCACGTAACGTAAGAAATGTATCTTAAAGTAGAACATACAGATGAAATATTTCAGGATGCAGTCTACTTCAAGTTTACGAACTTGAAGCAGTTCTGGTTGGTGGTCGAAAACCTTCCTCTGAAGATATTTCAATTCATGGCCAGATGTTTTAAAGGGTAAATGCATATAAGCCTTAGCTATTCGACGTTAAATTTAATTCCTGTCAGTACCCTTTGTTGTGATAATGTATGGGCTTTTCAAAGAGTTTTCCAACATTAATCACACCTGCAAAAACACCTAAAATTTCGATAGACCACAGATCGTCAGGGACTTTTATCTGAAGCCCGAACTGTTGCGTCTCTGATAGGAACCCACAAATCGATACAAATGTTGGTTTCCAATATGTGGAGGATCTACTGCAGATCAATTACAAATGGAAAATGGCTTCACTTTTAATTGAAAATAAATGACACAAGAACCGATATAGGTGGAGTATATTAGTGATTCTGTCATGCGGAAATCCACTGGGCACTCGATTAGGCCCCAATTCCTAATCATTTAGTCGCAGAATCAGAGGTACAGCAGTACCATGTGGTCCAAGCTGCTTTTCGTTGTTCTCTTCGGAATTTACCTAGCCGCCAACTTTGAAGTTAATGTAAATATCATATCTTCAGGAGGCTTCAGACTCAAATGCTCAAATACTCCACAGGATGCTGTGGTCTTTAGGTTCACGAACTTCGTCTGCAAGAGCTACAATACATCCGCGTTTGTGTTCCATAACTGTCGCCTGAAGGCCGTCAGTCGGGAAAGGGTGCTCCTCAATATGAATGGGACGGTACTACATTCGATAAATAATGTATCGCTTCATGCCAAGATTTTCAAAAGAGCAAACGGCTTCCAGCCGTGGCTTCTGGAAGGAACCGTCGATGTGTGCCGATTTTTGCAGAAGAGAAATAATCCGTTTATACGTATCGTCTTCAATCTTTTCCAGGAATTTTCCAACATCAACCACACATGTCCGTATGTGGTAAGTGATATTTCAATATTCTTGGATTCAAATCTGTGCTAAGACCCCCCCACAGGGTCCACAGATTGTCAAGGATTTCTATCTGAAGCCCGAGCTACTGCGACTGCCCTTTCCAACCGGAGATTATCTGTTGTCGATGCAGTGGCTCTTCTATAACAGACCCCAATTCGATACGAATGTTAGCTTCGCCTATGTGGAGGATCTGCTCGTACTTAAAAAGAAAAACTAATGCAATATATTTTTAAAATGCAATTAAGAATTTCTTGCAATTTATTTTGTGTTTTTTGACTGAAAGGAAACCGTAATGACCCGAAAAGGTGATGCAATGGCTGCCTGGCTTGGGACAGCGGAAGCCCGTTGTCGGTTGGAAACGTTGCTACTAATGATTAAACGAACTCGTATCCGAACTTTTTTATATGCAAGATTTTTTTCACTTCTGTTGCCACACACATAACTGCAACCGATGTTGAACAGAGATTGCAGAAGGTTCGATATCATACATTCCTTGTCTGCAACAGTTTTTAACCACTTCTTGGCACCTTTCCTTAGCCAGAACGTACGCCGCCTCATGTCCTTCGATGCCTTGGAGGCTGACTTTGTCGTGCTTACGATACTAGTATCTAGTGCTTTCCTGCTCCCAAGACATTTTTGGCCCTTACGATGGACGAACCCATGATTCTTGACGTCGCTGGCACCTCCTGGCCCTCTATCCTGCTCTGCCCCGAGATACTCTATCTTTGTAAACGCATCCCAGTAACGATTTCATTGCTGTATATTTAAGATAAACCTACCAATTGTGGTCCGATTGAATTATTGTCAGTGTTTCGAATGAAATCTGCAAAGAGAAGAAAGAAACAAGATACAAACTAGAATTCGTACAGCACCAATAATGATTATGGGTATTTCTATGTAGTGATCGAAGCTATCGAAACAGAAACCCGTCTGGCGTCCAGAGGCCTAAAGAGGCACTAATGAAATTCCCATTGACGTAAATTCCCAACATCCCGACATAGACATCAACCAACCGCAATCGATGGATAAACAAAACTTAGCTGCTCTCTACGCCCCAAAAGAATATCTCACTAACAATCTTGAGTGCGGCAAGCTACCAATTTTAGGCATACGAACTCGACTCTCGAAGAAGAGAAGCAGTAACAGATACCAGAGATACATTTGAGGGGGCGGGGGGAGAGGAACGACATATGAGTGATTTCTATGGGTCTCCTAACGCAAGCGAGTATTCTCGAGGTCAGCCACTTTTGTTACGAGACAGTCTCCCACCAATCCCTACCCACCCTCCCCACTCTTGTATCTGTATCTGTATCTGTAGCTGAAGTCGCTGTCTCTCTCTATTCTGAGACACTCTTGACCAAGATATACTCCCAGCAAGCCAAAGCCCAAGACTCTGGTTCTGTCCGGTTTGCAGTCAATGCATTTGTATCTATGTATCTGCTGCTGCTGTTGCTGTTGCTGCCGTGTGGTTTTTACTTAATTTACTTTACTGTTATGTTTTTGCTTTCCGCTTGTTAGGCAAGAGCCATGCAACCAACCAGTCAAGCCATCGACATGTGTACGTGTACCTGTACGTGTACGTGTGTGTATCTGTCAGATACTTTTCAGTTTCGGCTGGTTCTATGGTGCAATGGCCATGCATCCATCCATCCATCGCTCGCTCGCTGCAATACACTTGACATTTGGTAGGCGGAGGCGGAGGCGTGGGCTGAACATATAAATAATTTCATAACCAATCCGTATGTGTATGTATGTGTAATATCAAAGCGTAATGCCAAAGGTTAATGCCAAACCGATTTGACCAGCGAACAACGAAAAAGCCAACTATTTTCAAGTATTAAATATCTTATTATTACAGCATTTTGTAATTTGTAGTTTGTTTGGTGTCGACTCCAGCGGTTATGCAATGGTCTCTTGGCCATAAACAGCTGGGCTGGCCATTATCATCGCCATAAACAATTAGTGCAAGACCGAATCAATAACCGATTGCTGTTCACCTTTTACAGCTTTGATTTTTTATTGCCACACATCTCCTGTCCCTCGCCAGGCCCTGGCATCGCCCCGGTATCGCCCCGGTATCTTACGGATAGAAGTTGTATCTTTACGAGCTGCGCTCCGTAGCTGAGCTCTCGCTGTATCCCATAAACAAAGAGGACGCTTTGTGTCCCATTGACATAGATTGCAATTTATGAAATTTTATTGCTCTGCTTGTGCCATATATTGAAGGTGTGTGCGTGTACGCGTACGCGATTGGGCCTGACCTCCACCTCCACCCGATGGAGGCCCCAGCGCGACCCAAATACGATCTAAGCCTTTGAAAATGCTGGGAATAACAATAAAGTTGTTAAAAGCGGATGAGGAATGGCGATGGACACGATGGAACACACAAGTCCGAGCTCAAGATACTAAACTACACTCTAAAAGATACAGAATTGAAACTAAGAAATTAAGATTCATTAAGTCTAAGTCTCACTGGTCTGGAGCTGGAAGAGAGAGAGAGAGGTGCTGAGCTCTCTCTGAGTAATGCCAGAATTGAAAACATACTGCTAAGCCACTCTGTGAGAGAGGAGAGTTATAACAACCGAAAGATAGAAAACTGAACACACTTTCCGAGATAGATTCCAGATTATACCTTTAAGAATCTTTATCAACTGTTGTACATCCAAAATATGGCTCGGCATCTGTAGATGCATCTGTAAGATACCTCAGGTATCTTAGGATGTACTACGAAAAGGAGTCTACATTTACAGTTCCTGCTTCGGTTTAATCCTTGGGCAGACTGATTCACAGCTCAAGTTAAAGCTTGACAAAACATTTACCACGTGTAATGGAGGATGAGCCGCCGCCGTCATTGACAACTTGAATGTGTGCAAAGATACAACGCCGGACCGGAGAGAGATCGCTGTTTGCCAAGGCCATGGGAGAGAGATGGAGATAGAGAGGGCTGCTGAAAGACTAAGTAAACTGAGCTGAGGGCCGCCATCTGGGGGTCTCTGGGAGACAAAAGGCGTGAAGCCTAAACCGACGATAAGTGCCTATAATGTCTATGAATATCCGGCTGGAGGCAGACACCAGCCGAAGCCAAGAGCTCCAGAGCCGAACCAAAGTAGTAGGCAAACAATGTGGCTCAAAGGATCCGCTCGGTCTGTCTGTCTGTGTGGAAGCGAAAGGGTAAGGAACCGTAGTGACAACATGACATGCAAAGTTTTGTCAAAGCCCAGACACGGGCAAACAATGTTCCCGGTCTCGGATGGGGGGCGATGTGCTCACAGATGTGAATGTATCTGGGGTCGGCGATGGGGATGAGCCTCTCCTTTGCAGACATAAGTAGCCAATGCGGCTGGATGCGGGTCTTAATCAACCCGAGAGCGAAAGAGAGAGAGGAGCAGGAGTACCACTCGCAGGAGGAGACGAGCGCTGTGTGCTGATTCTTTATTATTTTCTACATTTTTTTGTGTTTAGCACGTTATATGAATAACTAATTGAGAGCGTATACCGCAACATGCACACGTACACGTACACGTATTCGCACCGAAGATATACACGGGGCAAGAATGTGGCCAAATGCACTGAGAGAAATCTATCTTAGTGGAGCTAAAAGCTTTCTTGTCTCTGGGTTTCCACCTCCCATTGGACGTCCTTGCTCTCACACGACGCACACAAGCGAATGCTGCCCGAGAATTGAAAGAACAACATGCATAGCGTGTGCATGAAATTAAACGAGCATATCCTATGGAGCTCCACTGATAAGGGTTGTTTTTTGCTGTTGTTGCTGGACTGAGAGTTCCTTTGAAGAGATTTTATCTGAATTCCTAGGGAGATGGAATTTATCCCTTATACCAGGTTAGGGCTTCTTTCAGTGCACTGCATCCATTAGATACAAGTGTACACATGCCGTATGTGCCTTGTATCTGTATCTGTGTATTCCTCCTGAGGGGCAATGCCTGTTGAGGGCGGGCAACCATGACTGGGCATAACAGCAAAGCAAAACGAAATCTTGGCTCAAAGAAGAAGTGGAGTAGGACAGCAGCAGCAGCAGCAGGCCATCATCTTGGGTTCTCTGTTCTCCGTTCTCCGTTCTCCGTTCGGTCTTCGATCTTCTCCTCTTCTCGATGCTAAACTGGTAGCACATTTCTTCTCGTATCTTTTTCTTTTTTTTGCCAGGTCTGTGCCTTGGGTCTTGAGGCTGAGTCATCCTCAAGTCGGGTAGTCGGCTGTTGGCTGTGTTTTGCATTAGGCCAAGTTCGATGACTAAGCAGAGACTTGATTTCTGGTTCCTCTGTGGGGCCCCCGGCCTACCGGCATAGCTTTAATGTGTGACCGCATCCCCCAGATGGGAGCTTGACGGCTTGCAGATGTTGTCACCTCGGCCTCAGTTTGTGCTTGAACTTGGTCTCTGAGATGGGATCTATTGTAGGCCCTTCCCTGTTCATTTCCACACCAGAAAGTATCTCTTAGATTGCACCATGTCTCATTTCCCACTTCAAATATTGCTCAAGTTTTCCTCCTCCGATTGCCTCTCCTTAGAGTAGCTTTCCCAACACTTTTTTCTGTATTTTTATCGCATATTGCACATTAAATAAGCTCGTTAAAATCAAATGCATTTGTTAAATGTGCAAAACAGAAATAGAAGCACACAGATCCGCAGATACAGATGTATATGAGCATGAAGCAAACAAAAGATACTTTTTGTGTTCTTTTTTCCCCCTTTTTTTTTGGTTTTGTTTCAAAGCCAATGCTTGCGAAACCGTGACACATGGCGAAGGCCAACAACAGATCTGAACAGACTAGACGCCGATGCAGAGGATGATGCTGCTGCTGTTTGCTGATGATGATGATGATGATGATGAAGATGGTGTTTGAGCAATGAGCAAATAAAAATAAAACTTGACAAACGAAGGGGAATGGGAAGAAGAGGCACTGCTTTTGTCAGATTAAATCTCTAGCCGTATCTTTCGATCAACGAGAGATTGGTAGCCCTAAATGGGGGATCCTTTGTCGAATAGACTTAATCTCTATGTCCAAGGGCTATGCAAAGACTGTGCTATGCTTCATGGGACTGTTGCTTTTGTGGTAGTGACAAAGATATCCTTTGAAATACTGAATTTTGCAGTTTTACGATGTGTCACGACGTCAAGTCCATTTCTACGATGAATTTCCAACAATTAATTGCAGTTTTGGAGCCACTGGCCTCTGCCGGTAGCTGCTGATTTGACT